AATACATAATATTACAAAAGATGTGAGTTTTCAAAAGTACAAGATTTTGGTTACTATTCAAAATATAAGTGTTTCTTCAAAATTTTAAATTTATTTTTTCTAGAACATATTTAGAAACACTATCCTTTAAAATTTTATGTATTAATTAAATTTCACATATGAATATAGGTTTTTGACATTTTCGACATTTTTGACAGTGAGGTTTTTGACGTGACGGTTTAAACCATGGTTTAAACTGTCAAAAACTGTCACATGTCAAAAACCTGCCAACCCTGCTTCAAAGTAAATATTAAAATTCTATCTTGAATAGTTTTTCACAAAATAGATGTTTGCATTTTTTGATCAAAAATTACCCCAGGTCACCCTAAAAACTGTTCTACAATAATCTTATTTTTCCAAATATAGCCATGGCTACTGTACCAAGGGTATTGTTAAAAAAAAATCCGTAAAAGATATGATAAAAAAATTGCTAAAGAACTACCTAAAAAAAACTTATTTTTAGCGGGAGCATAAAATGTTTTTTAAACATTTAAGGAAGGTAATGTAATATTATTATTAAAAATTTTGAATAGTTTTGAGAAGTTTCTATAATTACGGTTTATTAAAACCAAAGTAGGCTGTTATGTGACCAAATTACTACGTTAAACCTTAGTTAATAAAAATGTAGTTTCTTAAATTTTTCACTCAAGCGACAATTAGGTGAAAATATATATATAAAAGGATAGAGACGAAATGCACGTTTACAGAAAAAATTATTTAAAATTCATATGATCAAATTTAATCCAAACACATAGATCGACTAATACATAATTATTAATAAAGTAAATTTTTGCCTTAGCGGTTATTTGTTTAAACATTTAGTGGTGCACACACATTTTTCTAAAATTTAAATATGGTCTGGGGTGATAAGTAAGTTTGAAATTTTAAGCAGTTAAAGATTTACCCAATCGAGAACCTTTTCATTAAAACGTAACTTCAGTTTACAAGCAACAAATAATTAATATATAAAATAAAGGATTTAACCATTGATATTTTTTTTAACAAAGCCATTATCCGAATAAACTTGAGCTTAAGTTATTAATTAAAAATTAAAATTGTGTGTGAATAATATTTCTGTGACTTAAGGCTACAGTGGACNTAACCATTGATATTTTTTTTAACAAAGCCATTATCCGAATAAACTTGAGCTTAAGTTATTAATTAAAAATTAAAATTGTGTGTGAATAATATTTCTGTGACTTAAGAGCAAAAAAAAATAGTTTCAACAATTAACAGATACGTTCCTTCATCCATTCATTCAGTAAATAAATACATTAAAAATAAATAAATTGAACTTTTATGAGTGTTTAAACCAAAAATCTATCTTTTAATGAATGAAAAGAAATCTATTTCTCTGTAGTTGGCACTCTTAACAGAGCCAATGCTACGTAATTTACACAAAAATATTTACTTTTTGCAATAATTTTTCTGGAAAATTGAAAAATTATGTTTCCAATATTTCAAATTTTATCATTCGTTTCGTTTATCATTTCCCCCCATTAAGACATTGTTTTTAATAATAATAATACAATAACAAGCATTTAATTACACAAAGTTCACTTTTTGTTACCAAAATATCATTATGCATATTAAATTTTTTTTTTAAATAGTTATATACAAGAACAAAATATAACACCCCTTATAATCTACATATACACAGATGCAAACTTGCTCTGCTCCATGCAGAAAAATATTTTTTATTGAGTGCAAAGGTTATATTTATTGTATGATTCTTTGTTTATTTAGTGTAAAACCATTTCCCCTTTCTACGTATAAATAATAAATAATTGAAAAAAATCATATGAAACATAATTTTGTTATAGGTGAGAATTATAAAATTTAACCAAAATTATCTTAAATTCTGCATGGTTTCGTTTTTTACTACCACTCAATAAAATATTTTAAAAAAAGTGGAGCAGTTGGCATTGCTAGAAAATATATCGATCACTACAAAATTTAACATGAAATAATAAAGTGGGCATGATGCATTGATTTCACTAAATAAGAAATGATTACTTACGATTTAATCCTTGATTATAAGAAAATCCTGACACTTCGTTTAAATTACACTTATGGCTGTTTTTTTTTTTTTTCTTCATAAAAAGAGAATAGATGGGGTGTATTTATGTTGAGTATTACCATTGGTTCAAGCAAGGCAGAGGCACCTCCTATTTTTCGTATTTAAATGTTTCGTGACGGTGATTGTGGCAAAACCTCCCTTTTCTGAAGGATTTACAGCAAGAGTTCTATTTGTATATTCAACAAATTCAAAAGCTGCTTTTCACCCCTGATAAAATTTAAGATCTACAAGCATTTTAGGGTAAGATAATTGGGCTGAACTAGACAGGGACACCCTATGGTTTTCAGAGCTTTATTTTATGGCTTGCAATCAGGGTTGGGGTTTTGGACAGGACACTTGGGTTTTACTGTCTTAAACTGGGTAAAACTGTCTTAAAGTGTCCAAAACCTTGAACTTTGTTAAAAGGTAAAAATTCTATGGGTGTAACCATTGTACACATAATAATTACATGTATCAATAAATATTTGATATTTTTTATACAATTTACTATAACTTATTAAAAGAAAATAATATAATATAATAGGAAAAGGTTTATAATTTTTGAAGCTCCACAATTCATTGAACAACAAAAGTGAATACCTAATCCTTTAAATATAAA